ATTCTTCATTTTTATCCATTTGGTTATTTGGCATCATTTAGCTGCTTGTAGCATTTTGTTTATTCGCTGATTGCATGAACAGCAAATATGGAAATTGACCCAGAGAATGCTTCCATGGCAGATCTTTGATGCAATGCACTACATATATTGATTATAATTAATGTTGGTGTTCGGTTAATTAAAAGAAAAGGCTTTGCACTCAATTGTACTCAGAATCTTTGCATTTGGTATAGCGCTTTTCATGTTGGGAGGAAGTCCCAAAGTACTTCACAGGAGTGCAGCAACCCAATTGCGCACAGCATGAAATTGACCAAATTTATTTAGGAGATTATTGGCCAGGACATCTGGAGAAACTCCTTTCTTTTTTCAAGGAGTGACATCTTTAATGTCAACCTGAACAGATGTCTCATGTGAAGAAAAGCAACTCTTAACAATGTAGCACACCTCCAGTAATAATAATAATAATAACCCTTGCATTTGATATAGCGCTTTTCACGTCTTCTAGACATCTCAAAGCGCTTCACAGAATAGACTGTAAAGTGAATTGACTCTTATTTGTGGCCGAAATGCAGCAGCCAATAGCGCACAGCAGTGTACCACAAATTGAAATGACCAATTTATTATTGTTTTTGAGGGATTATTATCAGGCGTGTGGAGTAAGGAAACTTACGCAAGGTTTCACCCTACCGGGAATGGAACCCAGGTCTCTTGCTTGCAAAGTGAGTGCTCTAACCACTGAGCTACAGGACTCCACGTATTGCATTGGAGTGCAGTTTAGACTGAGGTCAAGTTCCAACATGGGAACACGGTTAACATCTCTTTAACCCATCATCCCCTATCCCTTAGCCCATTTTCTCCTTTGTCTTCCTTGCCCTGCCTCTCCCCTCTCTGTTAGTCCTTAAAAGCCTCTCCTTCCCAACATGTCCCAGTTCTGACGAAGGGTCGTGGACCCAAAACGTTGACTCACTTTCCTTTCTCCGTAGATGCTGTGTGATCTGCTGAGTGTTCCCAGCGACTTCTGCTTTTGTTTCAGATTTCCAGCATCTTCAGTATTTTGCGTTTTGTTCCAACATGGGGCTTGAACTCACAAACTTCAGAAGCAAGAGTACTATCAACTGAGCCAGGCAGACACACAGTTACACTACAGATTAAACACAAAGGACTTTCACGATTACTGATGGAAACAAAATACATTCATATAATGAAATTGGATAGGTTGTGTTCAATTGGCTAAAGTTCACATTTACATGGAAAATTAGTATTAACCTGAGTTTTAAAATAAAACTGGAGAATTAATTGTGTAGGTTTGAGTCAGGAAGGAAATGAGTTGGATTGAATTAGATTGAAGATTTCAGCTGGGGGTCATAGAAAGGTTCAGTAAGATTTCTAAGAGAATTCATACTCAGGGAATTTGTGAGGAAATAAGCAAAGAGATGCATTCTGATTTAGGACAAGGTGGGGATTAATAGCGGATATCAATATGGATGTGAGTTTTGCCAATGATAATAATGTCTTGTTTTTAAATAAAGTGAGCTGGGGAAAAAGAGTAAAGATCATTCTGTCCCTTTGCCAAAACTATGACTAAAACTTCCTTCTGCTTTTCTCCCTGGAGAAATATGTACTAGTTTTCCTGAATTGAAAACTAATCTCTCAAGGATTTCTTTTTTTCCTCTTCATTAGTTCTGACTGAGTGTGTTTCCTTTTGCTAATAATGGAAATTATGGTGGAAAGCTTGTTGCATGATATTTTTCACCTATTTTGAGTAATTTTACCAAAACGATTAAATAAACCTATTAAAATGTGATTGATCAGTGTTCCTGCAGTGTATATAGTATGTAATTGGATCCTTAGTGTGTATTGGCTTTTCAGTGTATATCCAGTGGAATCCTAAAGCATATTGATTAGAGCACTCCTGTAGAGTATTTTGTTAAAGCACTCGCCTCTCAAGCGGGAGGACCTGAGTTTGAGTCCCGAGCAGGGTGAAACGTTAGGCAAGTTTCTTACTCTACACTCCTATTTACCTAGCAGTAAGTAGGAACCCGGTTGTCAGTCGATTAGCGGATCACTTTTCGGGCGGGGGTTAATCCCTTCAAAAGAAAAGAATACATTTTAAAAATAATAATTTGGTCACTCAATCTATGACTGCTTGTGGGACACTGCTGTGCGCAGCTGGCTGCCATGTTTCGCCCACAAAATATGCAGTGAATTCACTTTACAGTGAAGTGCTTTGAGATGTCTCAAAGACGTAATAAGGCGCTTATCAAATGCAAGGATTATTATTATTATATTCCCTGAAATTGAGATCCTGACCAGAGCTGGTTAGGTGACTTTAAAACTGAATTCCAGTATGACGGAAGTCCACAATCTGTTCCTTAAAACAGAAAGGTTCAGAGATGAAAGGAATGGGAGTGGTGACAAACACTAGGAAATAAATAAAAACAATTTAACATAAGAAAAGGTATAATAATAAGCCTTGCATTTGATATAGCGACTCATCACATCTTCGAGATGTTTCAAAGCGCTTCGCAGAATACACTGTAAAGTATAGTGACTTTGTGTTTCGTGGGCAAAATGCAGCAGCCCATTTCGCACAGCAGTGTCCCACACACAGTCATGGATTGAGTGACTTATTATTATGATAGCATGACGTATCCCAAGTCATGGAAATTTTAATTTTGGTAATAAAATTATTTGTGACTAAGGCGCAAACAATTCTTATCCTTTTTTTGGTAGTTCTTCCTGAGAAAATCACTGAGTTTTGAGAATAAGTCACTGCAAAAGTAACACAGTACCTTCAAAGACACTGTTGGCAGCAGATTTACCAGCACTGCAATTTACCACTAACAATCTGCCAACAAATTAATTAGTTTCAACCTTGCAGCTGAAGACTGACTCTCTTTTTCCAAACACTAAGAAATGACAAATATTCTTCACTTAATTTCCTGCCTCACTGCAGCTGATATGGAAAGACTGCAACAAGGATGTGGTGGATTCTGTAAAAGCGAAGCTTCTTGAGGAATGAGAGTACATTATAACCACATTAAATGATTTTTGTAATAACTTTATTCCATGCTGTGATGGTATTTGAACTTGCAATGTTTGGTCTGTCTATTTTGACTCTTTGAACCAAGCATCATCATTGTTCCCCATCTTGCAAAGATGTCCTGTGATCATTACCAAACTTGGTGAAGTCTCTATGCAGCATTTCACTGGGAATGTTCCACTGCACATATTTTGGTCACCAAAATACAGATCATGTCATGCTGCATTCTGCTATACAAAGATCCAGAGAGATGTTTGCAATTTCAATATCCATTTATGAATGATGGTACTGTTTTGTCACTAACTTAAAGCAGATGCAGTTGCTCTGTACATGGTCATGATTCCATCTGTTAACATACAGATTACAATAGTGTGATGCTTAAATGGACACTGGTTGTTAAGAATATGCAAGGTATTTTGCTGCAGCAGATTAACTGTTGCATTTGCCTACATAAGTTACCGCACTTTAAAGAACGTAATTGAAAGGTTTTGATATGATCAGGCACTGAAACCAATTTTAGTAGATATATTGTATTGTTTAATTCCATAAGGTGACACTACTGATTGCCTCTATGGTTCTGGATTCTGACAATAAGCCAGTGAATCATGGGAGAAGATAAATCTTCACATAGGATGTTTGATCTTTTCATTAACTTAATGATTGTTATCCAATGGTGTAATTTTACACCACAAAATCAGTTACTCTATGAAAGGACAAAGAGAACAGGCACCATGAATGGTATTGGTTGACTTGTTGGGGTCCCCTAGATGACAGGAGTGGAGGATGGAGTCCAGGTGGTAGAGTAGTGGGGGGAGAGAGTAGTGGCCCTGGATGGAAGAGTTTGTCACTGGGTTTCTTTGTGTGTTTACTTACTACAGCCTCGTGATCAGCACCTCCAATACGTTAGCTATTTGATGGGTAGAAATTCCAATGATGTTTAGCAAGGGATCAAATCCATGTAAACATATGGACTGGGGAATGATGCCCTAATGCCCAACTTTGAAGAGATTTATCCAGTCCTCCCCAAGATTATAACCATTGTCCTTCATGATACTGAGCTCTTGAACAAGCTACGAAAGGGTTTCTTTTGGCCCGCTTGCAAAGTCCACACCAAGCAGTTAGATGGATTTGTGGTTAAAAATGTAGAAATAGAGTCTTGGAGCTGAGCTGGCTCCAAGATAAAGTGCTTAGCAATGAATATTGGAATTGAATTGATGGCAGACTTAGTCACAGTACGTGCTGACCAGCCAGCCTGGTTTGTTCACAGGACTTGGAGCGCAAGACCTGTGAGCAGGGATTCTTTCCACACAGTTCTGGTTAATCCTAACAGCCACAATGGTCCTAGCTGTGCAAGCAGGCAGAAGCTTGCCAGACAATCCTCTCAATGGTAGGCTGTGCAGTTTTAGCTCTTTTTAAAATTTCAATACCTCAGCAAATATTTTGGAATCCCCACGCCCCTTGGCTCTTATACCCCTGAATTTTAATACTTTCCAGAATTAAGAAAGCAGAGTACGTATCCTTGGGAAGAAAATGCATTTTCCATTTCAGACAGCGTTTCCAGTATGTAGATGGCTTACTTGTGAAACAATTTCAGTCCAGTTTGGACATTCTGAAACATGGTGATGGGCATTTGGATTTGACCAATAAAAAGTTACAAGGTTTTAGAACAAAATCACACAGTGGCTAGATGTGAGAATTCAGAGTGTATAATCAGCAGCAAAGCTTTATATACCCCAACCCCTGCTCAGGTCCGAAACACTGATTGTCCAGCACTTTGGGAGGTACTCCCAACATGAAAGGCGCTACAGAAATGTAATGTTGTTGTTGCCAGATAAAAGCATACAATTACATAACTTATTGGCTCCTTTGTCTTGGTCTTGGACTTTTATTTTTGGCTAGGTTACGGTACTTTGAAAAAGGATACTTTCTCATTGAGGTTTTTTTTTTGTTCTTGCAGGGAATGGCATTTACTCTTGAGGAACGTCTGCAGCTTGGAATTCATGGGCTGCTCCCACCCTGTTTTTTAACCCAAGATGTTCAGGTTCTTCGTGTCCTCAAAAGCTACGAGACCAAAACCAGTGATCTTGACAAGTAGGTTATCGCTGTACGATGCACTTGCTGTTCCACTATCAAGGTGCAGGAAGCTGTTTTAGCTTATTTAGTTGACTGATGACATTGATTAACCATTTGAAATCTTTGTTCATTACTTTTCCTTGGAAATGTTGTAGTTGCATGTAGCTTTGCACAGGTCATGCTTCAAATTTTTTACAATCTGTAGCCACAGGTTCAGAGATATCTAATAACTACACATGGTGTCTCTCAGCTCTGTCTAACTTTTTGTTTCCATCTTTGACGTATTATAGAGGATATGGGGAGTCTAATATCTAATACAGTTTATAATAACTGTATAAATCCTCCTTGGACACTGGGGTGGTGCCAGAGGACTGGAGGGTTGCAAATGTTACTCCGCTGTACAAAAAGGGGCAGAAGGATAAATCCAGGAACAACATGCCAGGTAGCCTAACATCAGAAGTGGGGAAACTTCTGGAAACTACAATCTGGGACAAAATAAATTTTCACTTAGAAAAATATGGGTTAATAAAGGTCAACCAACATGGATTTGTTAGAGGCAAATCATGTCTAACAAACCTGATAAGAGTTTTTTGATGAAGTAACGGAGAGGGTGGATGAAGGTAGTGCAGTTGATGTAGTTTATATGGATTTTCAAAAATCATTTGATAACATAAAAGACTTGTAAGCAAAATAGAAGCCCACGGTATTAAAGGGACAGTGGCAGCATGGATCCAGAACTGGCTGGGAGACAGAAAGCAGAGAGTGGTGTTGAATGGTTATTTTTCTGACTGGAGGGAAGTGTGCAGTGGTTTCCCCAGGGGTCAGTATTAGAATCACCCATGTTTCTGATCTATATAAATGACCTGGACTTGGGTATAGGGAGTACAGTTTCCAAATTTGCGGATGATACTAAGCTAGTGAGCAGTGAGGAGGATAGTAGCAGACTGCAAATGGACATAGACAGACTGGTAAAATGGGCAAACAAGTGGCAGATGAAGTTTAATGTGGAGAAATGTGAAGTAATGCATTTTGGGAGAAGAATGAGGAGAGGCAATATAAGCTGATGGTAGAATCTTAAAGGGAGTGAAGGAACAGAGAGACCTGGGGGTCATATAAGTAAATCTTTGAAGGTGGCAGGACAGGTAGATAAAGCCGTTTTTAAAAAAAAAACGGCAGTACTAGGCTTTATAAATAGGGGCATAGAATACAAAAGTCAAGCAGTTATGAAAAACATTTATAAAACACTGGTTAGGCCTCAGCTGAGTACTGTGTTCAGTTCTGGGCACCACACTCTAGGAAGGATGTCAAGGCATTGGAGAAGCTGCAAAGGAGATTTAGCAGAAATGAAAGACTTCAGTTATCAGGAGAGGCTGGAGAAGCTAGGATTATTCTCCTCATAGCAGAGAAGGTTAAGAGAAAACTTAATAGAAGTTTTCAAAATTATGAGGGGATTCGATATGGTGAACAAGGAGAAAACTGTTTCCATTGGCGGGTGGATTGGTAACCCAAACACCGATTTAAAATAATTGTTAAAAGAAACAAAGGTGAGGAGAATTGTTTTCACACAGCGAGTTATTCAGCTCTGGAATACATTGCCTGAAAGGGTGGTGGAAGCCGATTCAATAACAACTTTTAAGAGAGAAGTGGATAATTATAGTGGGTAAAGTTTGCAGGGCTATGGGGAGAGCACGGGGGAGTGGGATTGAATTGGTACCTCTTTTCAAAGAGCTGGCACAGATACAGTGGGCTAAATGGCCTCCTCTATAATTCTATGAAGTGGCGATTTATAATCATAATAATCCTTGCATTTGACATAAGACCTTATCAAGTTTTCGAGATGTCTCGAAACACTTCACAGAATATACTGGAAAGTGAATTGAATTGTAGGTGAAACATGGAAGCCAATTGCACACAGCAGTGTCCCACAAACCGTTGTGGATTGACGTAAACAATTTTTTTTAAGGAATTATTATTGAAAAGTGATTCGCCAATCGACTAACAGCCGGGTTCCTACTTACTGCTAGGTAAACAGAAGCATGGGGAATAAGGAAACTTGTCCAACATTTTGCCCTGTCGGGTATCAAACCCAGGTCTCTCATTTGCGAGGCGAGTGCTCTAACCACTGAGCTTTAGGATTCCACAAAATAAAATAATGGGATATTTTAAAAGAGAAAAACAAGTGGGAATTCCTTCCAAGAACCGCGAGCATGTCACCCTGACCCGAGGGGACTCCACTTTAGAGGTAGATTATAATAATAGTAATAATAGTAATAATAATCCTTGCATTTGATATTTCACATCTTCTAAATGTCTCAAAGTGCTTCACAGAATATGCTGTAAAGTGAATTCATCGTATATTTGTGGGCGAAACGCTGCAGCCAATTGCGCACAGCAGTGTCCCACAAACAGTCGTGGAGAGAAGTGACCAATTTTTTTTCTTGAGGGATTATTATCAGGAGTGTGTAGTAAGGAAACTTGCCCAAGGTTTTGCCCTGCCGGGAAACGAACCCAGGTCTCTCGCTTGAGAAACGCATTCCAAACCACTGAGCTACAGGACTCCACGCTTCATTATATTGAAGCAGACATCTGGTTTTCTTTATTTCAGGAAATCCCATCAAAATCATTGCATATTAAATAATGTCCTTAGGTCAGGGGAAGAAAAATAGTAAAAACGGCTACTTTTCTTTCTGAATTCATGTTGGAAGCAGTCATCAAATAGAGAGATTCATTTGGATGCACTTTATTAATATAAAAAAATAGAAATTCCTTTAACACCAGTGATTTGGATGTATGGAAACTCTGGGACACTCCCTCAATCCCTCTGCCTTGCCCCTTCTCTCCCCTTTTTCAATTCCCACCTTTCTTTTCGACCGGTCACCTGCCCCCAGCCACCCTTCGGCTTGGAGTCAGGATCTGCCACTGTTGAACCTCTGAGACGATACCCTGTGTGGAGGCCACTATATAAGTGCAAGTTGTTGTTGTTGTGTAGGGGTTTGTAATGGAATATTCCTATTGCACTTTGCTGCAAGAGAAATTTTATCTCCCGAGAAAATCATTGCTCGAGGATGTAAACTAACTGGGAGAGGACAGAGTGCTTCAGGGAAGCACTGCGCTGTTTATCCACTGCCTGCATCCTAGGAAAATTTTTTGTTTCACCAGGCAAGTCTTTAAAATTGGGCTTGAGCTTGTGCACAATACTGGCTTCACAGGATCCCAGTGCAGGTTTATATAAACACAATAATACAGAGCACCACATGTCCAGTGAAGGTGTGAGCAGTCTAGCCATCATTCAGTTGCACATAATTGCTCTGTTTACACACCAATTGGAAGCTGTATTTTCCTTGGAAAAGATTTTTTTAAATGTAAAAATGCCTACTGTATTATCCAATCAGCTTTCTTAATACAGTTTGTCTGTGACACTGAGAAACTGTTCTACTTGCAGCCTAGGCATATATATAATGAAAAGGTGTTGTATTTCTGTTTCCCTTTGTCATTTTTGAGACATTCATGCTAACTTGAAAGAGTATTTTGTTTGGTTCATTTTCCAATCTTTAAACCATCTTTGCAAAAAGTGAAATCTAGTCATGCAGAATGCACCTCACCAAACAGTTTCTGATGACACACTGCTCAGTGCTATTATTGTAATCCTTCTTAATCTGCTTTTCCGAACAGGTACATTATCCTAATGACTCTCCAGGATCGAAACGAGAAGCTTTTCTACAGAGTACTGACTTCTGACATTGAGAGATTTATGCCAATTGTTTACACTCCGACTGTGGGCCTGGCATGCCAGCAGTACGGTCTGGCCTTTAGGAGACCCCGGTAAGTAAAAACTCTTCTCTCCTCTACACTTAATTTGTATTTTTTTGGTTTTCAGAGTATGTTCACGTGTAACAGGCCACACAATAAAAGCAAAATACTTCCTCAAATTTATTACCGTTGGACTACCAGCACAATTTTTTTCTAGGAACTGAATTGGGAATGTCAAGGTACAATAGGGACAGAGGTGGCTTTGTTCTGAAACAGTGCTTGACTGTCTCAGTGGCCTAGAATGCAGATGCTACTTCAGACCTGACTTTGTTTTTCTGGCACCCTGCATCCCCTCATGAGTAATCCTGATTTAATGTCAAATTGTTTGCATAGAATACCTATGGTTTTATCTTACTTGCAATATGCATCAGTGCTTGTTTTGTTTGGGATTTTATTTGCAAAATGTTAGTGAATATTCTACATGAACCCAGTGGGCACATTCTACAGCAGATGTTCAAGTTTGACTATTTATAAAGTGCTTTAATGACATGCCTCTAATTTTGCCTGCTTGATGGAGTAATAGGTGATAGTAACAGGTAAGAATTATGAAGGGTGATTTTATTTAAGAAATGCCTCCCTGACCCATTGAAGGACTGACTGATGTTGCATTAAACGTCAAGTCTGTCAAGGGTCTTGAAGTTCCAAATGTTTGAAGTTTAGATTACAACAACAACAACAAGATTCCATTTATAGAGCGCCTTTCACGTCGGGAGGACGTCCCAAGGCGCTGTACAGTTGGGTCAGGAGCCGAGCAGGGGGGAAATGGTCAGGGGGAGGGAAGGGAGGGAGCGAGGAGGGGGTAGAGAGTCGAGAGGGGAGCTGAAGGCACAGTCAAAGAGAAAGGTCTTGAGACCGGCCTTGAAGGAGGAAAGGGAGGAGGCGGCAAAGGCACTGGGGGATAGAGTTCCAGAGCCTAGGGGCTGAGAGGCTGAAGGCCCGGCCACCGATGGTAGGGCGGTTGGGGCGGGGGATGTGGAGCAGACCGGAGTCAGAGGAACGGAGGGTACGGGCAGGTAGGTAGGTAGGGGGATAGTAGGTCAGGGAGGTAGGAGGGAGCAAGGCCGTGAATAGCCTTGTAGGTGCGGATGAGGATCTTGAATTCGATCCTCTGGGGGATGGGGAGCCAGTGGAGGCGAGCGAGGGTGGGAGTGATGTGGTCGCGAATACAAGCAATTAGTACAAGCAATGAACCAATCTGTGAATTTCATGCAGGCTGGCAGAACCTCAAACTCGTATCATACATAATAAAGATACAAACTGCACTTGGTAATGAGTGTATGATATTGCACAAGTGATCTAAGTGATTTTTATTTTCTTTGTCTCCCACCATTTTCAGTGCATTTAAAAACTTGCATGAACGTGCATTTCTGTACATATATTTTACAACTTGATAATCTTTAATAGAGTTAAATTCTGAATGTTTTGTAGCAAAGTGAGGCAAGAAGGGATCTCATAAATGGGATTTAAAAATAAACCCAGAACAATACTTTAGAATGTACCAAGACAGTAGAACAAGAGGACATAAGTTTAGAGTTTCAAAGGGAAATTTCAGGACATACACCAGGAAGTATTTCTTCACTTAGAGGATAATCAACAACTGGTATAGGTGCCAAGAAGGATGATTAAGGCCAGTGCACTACATCACTTGTGGCGCCACACTTACCTGAAACCTATTCAGTCAGAATAGCCTCTGCAGCGAGTTGCCTGTCTCAACAATGAAAGGCTGTGACTGGAGCAAGAGAATAATAATAATAATAATAATCCTTGCATTTGATATAGCGCTTTTCACGTCGGGAGGACGTCCCAAAGCGCTTCACAGAACACACTAAAGTGAATTGACTGTATATTTGTGGGCGAACGCGGCAGTCAATTGCGCACAGCAATGTCCCACAAACAGTCGTAGATTGAAAATGACCAATTTATTATTGTTTTGTTTTCTGGAGGGATTATTATTAGGCGTGTGGAGTAAGAAAACTTGCCCGAGGTTTCGCCCTGCCTGGAATTGAACTCAGGTCTCTCGCTTGCAAAGCGAGTGCTCTAACCACTGAGCTACAGGACTACAGGAATGTGATGCCACACCATGCATGAACATTATGTTCATGTACCGGCAGGAGAAGCAGACGAAATGTAATTTCCTGCCAGCTTTGATACATCAAAGATGCAGTGCAAGATAGAACAAGACAAATAAATTGGGTGTCTAGCATGGGCCAAGTTTTGTTCTCACTGATAGCTGAGCTGACTCCAAGATGAAGTGCTTGGCAAAGGTATGTTGGAATCGATGCAATCTTGTGTGGCAGTATTAGAAGTTTGGTTCCTGAGTCGGGCGGGTCTGCGGTACTCCAGGGGACTACTGATGGCAGTCTAGGCAGCCGAGCACCTTGGTGGGATGTGCAGGGCAGGGATTCTTCCAACTCAGGTCCTGTTAACCTTGTAAGCCAAGGCCCTAACAGGTAGAGTAATAGCAGCTCCACAGGCAGAGGGAAGCTTGCCTGTGAATTTAAAATCCTATATACCATTTCTAGTCAGTTCTCTGTATCTTTTACGGTCATATCCGTAAAAGAGAATAATTTTAACAGTTGTTTATCAAAGCAAGTACTTGCTGAAATTTGCAATACTGTAGTGTTTTTTTTAAAAAGGTGAAGTGCTGAGAAATCCTGTGTGGGCAAGTTGGTTTGTGCCCTGAAATATATATAACAAAAATATTTGCTATTGAAGAATTGATGCATGGATTAGCCTGGAATGCAAGAGTACTTCCAAGTTATAATATGTTTTAAAAATTCATAAACGATTGGTTTAGATTTAGCTCTTGCTCATCTACAAAAAAAGTCTAGACTTTCAAGTCTCAATTAACTCTTACAATACTTTCTCTCCACAAACGGTTTCTCCACTTCATCTCCACAAACTGTTTCTCCTCTAGACCCCCGGACTGTCTCGTGTGGCGTTCCTCAGGATTTATCCTTATTCCATCCTGCAGTCCCTCTGCCTTGCCCCCTCGCTTGCCTCTTCAATATCTATATGCTCCCTCTTGGTGACGTCATACACAGACATGGGGTCAATTTCCACGTGTATGAGGATGACACCCAACTGTCCCTCTCTGCCTCCACCCTGACTCCAGGACCACTGCTGTCCTGACAGAATGTCTATCGGACATCAAGTCCTGGATGAGAGCTAATTTTCTTCAGTTGAACATCAACAAGACCGAGGCTCTCCTGATTGGCTCCCGTCAGAGCCTTCACACCTCAGTCACTGGCAACATCACCATCCATGGTTGCACACTCCACCTTGCTAAGCCAGTCCAGAACCTTGGGGTCTTGTTTGATTCTCAACAATCTTTCTACCCCACATCCGTGCCATGACCTTCCCCCACTTTCGCAACATCGCCTGGCTCAGCCGCTGTTTCACACCCTGGCTGCCGAAACCCTCATACACACATTCATAACATCCAAGTTTGACTATGCAAACTCCTTGCTTGTCGTCCTCCCCAACTCCTTCTTCCAAAGGCTGCAGAACATCCAGAACTCTGCAGCCTGCGTTTTCTCCCGCACCAGGCTCCATGAACCTATCATTCCCATACTCGCCCAACTCCACTGGCTTCCCATCACACAGATGATACAGTTCAAGATCCTTGTCCTCACCTTCAAAGCCCTCCACCCTCTGGAACTCCATCCTGCAGTTCTTTCGCCTCGCATTCCACGCTTGCCTCCTTCAAGACCCATCTCAAGACCCTCCTCTTCGACCGTGCTTTCGATCACCCTCCTTCCCCCCCACCCCACTTGCCCTACATCCCCCTCAATCCTGACGGCCAGCTCGGGTCTGAAACACTGACTGTCCAGCACCTTGGGACGTACTACTGACATGAAAGGCGCTATACAAATGTAATTTTGTTGTTGTTTCTAATGGCTTGAAATCCAGAATTCACACAATTAATGTGCCATCAAATATCTAACTATACAAATCATATTGACCCACAAAACACATAGTCAGTCTACATTACAGCATTTCCTATTGAATGCGTTAGGATATCCTCTTGACTTGAAAGGTGATATAGCATATGTAAGGATTATTATTGTATCTATTTACAGCTTTTCATTCCGAAAATGATACCTTTCTACCATGTTGAGATAGTATAAAAAAAATTGGAATAAAGTTTGCAATATTGTAACCTTGGGTTTGGTTAATAATAAATAATAATCCTTGGATTTGATATAGCGCCTTATCACGTTTTCGAGATGTCTCAAAGCACTTCACAGAAGGTACTGTGAAATTAATCGATTGTATATTTTGTGGGAGAAACGCGGCAACCAATTGTGCACAGGACTGCCACACAAACAGCTGTGGTTGAGTGACCAAATTTTAGTTTAAGGCATTATTGCCCTGGAAAGCGATTTGCAATCGACTGACAACCGGGTTCCTACTTACTGCTATATAAACCCAGATGGAATAAGGAATCTTGCTAACTTTTCGCCCTGCCTGGAAATTGCACCCAGGTCCTCTCACTTGCGAGGCGAGTGCTCCAACCAAAACGCTACAGGACTTCAAAAATTTTCACCTTTTATAAGTCACTGGTTAGGCCTTAGTTGGAGTATTGTGATCAATTCTGGGCACCAGGCTAGGAAAGATATAAAGACCTTGGAGAGAGTGCAGAGGAGATTTAACAGAATAGTACCAGGGATGAGGGACTTTACTTATGTGGAGAGACTAGAGAAGATGGGATTGTTCTCCTTAGAGCAGAGAAGGTTATGGGGAGATTTTATAGAGATGTTCAAAATTATGAGGGGTTTTGACAGAGTAGATAGGGAGAAACTGTTTCCACTGGCAGGTGGGTCAGTAACCAGGGGACATAGATTCAAGATAATTGGCAAAAGAACCAGAGGGGAGATGAGAATTTTTTTTTACAGTATTGTTACGATCTGGAATGCACTGCCTAAAAGGGTGATGGAAACAAATTCAATCACAGCTTTCAAAAGGAAATTGGCTAGGTACTTGATGAGGAAAAATTTGCAAGGGTTTGG